GCACAGCTGGTGGTAATCTGCATTGCTGTATGATGATTATACAGCAATGCAGAATAGCACCAACTATGTAGGACTACATGTCCCAGCATTGCATTATAGTGGGGGGCGGGGGGGGTGCTGGTGGTATTCTGCATGCCTTACTTTTATTATAATGTATTGCTGGGACTTGTAGTCCCGCATAGCTGGTGGTATTCTGCATTGCTGTATAATCATCCAACTATGTAGGACTACAAGTCCCAGCAATGCATTATATTTTTAAGTAGTGATACACCAGTGTTAATACTGGGCATTTTCACAAGTACTCATACTCGTGAAAATCCCCCGATACTAAACACAGATACCGGTGTTCTGTCAAGAACGCCGATCTCAGCATCTGCGCTTACACACAGACCAATATTATTGAGAAAACCGGGATTTATTCCCAAAGTATTTTGTTTAAATCGTTAATTGTGACCGATAATAATATTCTGTCCATCATTTACTGGCACCCATCATTTACTGCCATGGACGGCATATCATTAACGGTCACAATTAACAATTACAAATGAATACTTTGTAAATAAATGCCGGTTTCCTCGTTAATCCCGTCTGTACATAAACACAGATACTGGGTCAGCGTTGTCGACAGAACACCGGCACAAAAATTTTAAACAAGCGGCTGCCTGAGGTCCCACGCTTGCTGGGGACCTCGGCAGCCTTCCTGTTAACCATGCAGTGCCGTGGGGTTGGGGGGGCGGCCCTTCATGGTTTCTTGCACCGGGGCCCTGAAGGTTCTAGTTACGCCTCTGGGGATCAGCCTTCTAAACCAACTCTGCACGACACCCAGTTTGGCAACTCATGAAGCTTATTGTGAGAGTGACTCCTGACCCTTCCTCTACCAGCACAATATCCCTTATGGTGCTGGCTGTAAACGGACCTCACCAGGACTCTGTTTACCTGTGTAAAGCCGACTGTCGGTTTTACACTGGAAGCAATTCTGGCGGCTGCAACCAGATAATTTTCAAAGGCCGGTGAACAGTGCTCCCTTCCTGCCCGACACCCCTGCCTTGCTTCCTGGGCCCCACTGCGGGCTCCCCCTCTGGTTCCAGTACTGGCATCGCCGGTGTTGGTGGGAAGCGGAGAGAGAAACCAGCAGACACCTGTTCGCTGAACTCCTCTCAGCTAAAATGGAGCCAGAAGTGTTGCTGATTGCGTCACTTCCGGCTCCTCAGCTGTCATTCCCCGGCTAGAGAAGCCAGGTAAGAAGATATTTAATCCCGATCTGCCCTTGAATAGCTTCTTTGGAGTGGAAAGGTGACACTAGGGGTCTAATAGACCCCAATGTCACCCCAATAAAAGAACCTGTCACCACTAATATGCTATCGCATAGGGGGCTTATGAGCCCCCACAATGTTTTTGCAATGGAATTATGCACACAAAAAAAAGTTAAAATGTAGGGAATAGGGAAAACTAAAAGGGCTTGAATTTCCAAAATTGGGAGGTAATTGACCCCAGGCTGTAGCGCTCTATGGTCAGAAACCAATCCAGAAAGAAATATTGTGGTGGTTACTAAAGAAAGCAGACATGGGGAGGCCAAGCCAGGTCAATTAATAGGACGTCCTGTAATAGGACATGTGAGAGGAAGAAAAACGGGTATATTGCCTATCCCCTGGATGGAAATATCTCCACTCCTCTACTCGATCTAACTCCTGCAGAAGCTTTGCAAATCGGGTAAAAGAGGAAGTACCCATCTTGGCTGCGTCTGGACAGAGTACCTATCAAAAGAAGGGTTGCACGCATTATTGAAATCACCAATCCATACTGTAGGAAAAGGAGAATGTGGATGTTCCAGCGTAAAAGAGGCACCCGCACATATGGTCTCAGCTAAGTAGGGAGGCACAATGTAAACCACAAAAATATTGATGGGTCAATCATGCCATGTATAAATCTATATTAACAGGATCTAATTTCAAAGCCTCTAAGGCCAAACTCGCCAATGTTTTGATATGAAGAGAGCTCCCCCTTGCATATTGAGAATAGAGGGCATCGTAGGCCCAGCCTTTCCGCAAAACCAAGATCAAACTGCCAGTCTTATGAGTCTCCTGTAGTGCCACAATAACTGGGTGTTGCGTGCGAATAAACAACAGATTGTTTGAATTTCCTTGAGGCCCTTAACATTCCAGCTCAGTACACACAAAATGTGGGACAATACTAATAATAAAACAGTAATAAGGGAACCGCATATAGGATGACATGCAAGAGACACATGGGCAATAGTACAAAGTGCAACAAGAAAAGAGCGGGACAGCGGGCAAAAGGAGATCCAAACAACACAGAAACAAGACAATCATAGCAAAATATAAACTCTCGCCGTTACACATTCATCATAACAAAGAAGAAAAAGTGAACTTATGTCCAGAACAGTCTAGTCAATAAACAGTATACACAGCCAGGAACAGCCACAGGCTATGGAAGGGGTCTCCTGACAGCCGATGGGCTACTAAGGTGGCAACAAAAAGTGTTTCAGAAGGATAAGTTAATGAGGAAGGAGGAAGCAACATGATTACAATGGGAGTCCACACTCAGAGCAAGGGTACTTCCATATATCCAGTGTGTGTGGGCCACAAAAACAGGGTAATATCCAACACTGAGGAAAAAAAGGAGGGGGGAGAGAGGTTCCATGTTCAAAACAACTGCAAGCAGCGGATCCAGTGACAGGAACAGTAAACAACGAAAGTAAGTTGGCCAAGGAAGAGGCAGCAGAAACGAAACATCAAAGATAACCCACTACGACTCCAGGGTAAAGCAGTTGCTTGGGATTAAATCCAAGGATGCACATCATCAGGGAACTGGAAGAAGATCACCTTTCCCTTATCTTCCACATGGAGTTTCCATAGCATAGGGTATAGTGATGAATAGTGGTTTTACAGGACGTGATGGTGGTGACTATTTTAGTAATGCCAGCATGTTGTGACTGCTGGTGGCACCTCAGGTAGCTGTGGCAGAGCCGCAGTGTCAACAACTGGCCCCAGATCAGAGGCCTTCCCACAACAGAGTTTATCCAGCGGGGAAGGAGCGCTCGGCGTCCACTTCGGAGGTGCCATACCATGAATTGGGAAAGTCCAAGAGGGTGTGTGGCAGGAAAGGTGTAGAGAAAAGTGGCTAGTAACGGTATGGATAACTAGCGGATAATCTCTGAGTGGGAGCTCTCCAAGGTGTGTCCTACTCCATCTGCATCTAAGCCATGCCCCCCTGTATGTTAATTTGCACTTGTGGAAGATACTAGTCAGCCATTCATGGCTGAATTTTTGGAGTTGTTTTTCTGTGCCCTTTTGATAGGATCTCAACATCTCATACTTTTTACATTTTAGTTGCAGCTGAATACTTGAATATGGGTTTGCAGTTTAGAAATACCTGACCTTGCTAGGTACTTGTTCCTACTTTCTATCTTACCAGAGTCAAATGCTGTCAAGTTTACAAATGAGTATCCCTCTGGCACAACGAGCATGGTTTTTTTATGCATGATTTGGACAATATATTTTCTGTTTAAACATCCATATTGAATGTGCATTAAAGGAGTAAGTGAGAAACAACCCCTATACAATACATCATGTTTGTTGGTATAAAGCCATATGGAAAAAAATATATGAATATATTTATGTATAATACAAACAGACCTATATGGAAGTAAGGGCTTCAAAAGGAGGCTACTGATTTAGGGATTTAATTATTTAAATGAGAACTTTTGGGAGAGCAAAATATACTCTTCCCAATAGTTTGAGTCTATGCCGGCTCTATAGCTCGAGAACTGAACGATCACAAACTGCTGATCATTCAGCTCATGCTTTCTGCCTGCAGAGACTCCTCCCTACCCTCTAAATTCCTCCAGTGCTCATTGGATGGACCGACAGGGGAGCGGGTGGGCACACCTGGCTCTCAATATTGTTACGATCTTTCCCGGCTCCAGTGTGGTTCTGTGCTGTCAGCATATAGCATATAACTCAGAACAATAATAGTAGCATGAGGGACTTGCATGTTAAAGTCTCCAAAGTAATACTTGGTCCTGCAAAGGAGGGGGCAGCCTATTGGGGGACATCATCTCCTACCCACCAGGGTGCAGCATGCAAGGCAGAGCAAAATCTGCTAGAGTCTTCTGTCTGTGTGTCTTGGTCAAGTAGCCTCCCATCATGGTTGTGGAGACTGGTCCAGGTGGACCCTCCAGCCAATGTGTGATGGAGAGCTCTCCAGTGTCAAGGAAACTTAATAGTGCAGGGAGCCAAGCAGATGTATGTAGAAATACATTTTGGCCATTTTCTTCACAGTAAGATGAAAGGGCTTTCCCCACTTAAAGGTAGCTTTAGCTAATCTGATGTGGTGGAGTTGTGGTCGCAGAATTCTCCTTTTCTGTAAGGTGTATCGGGAGAGATCTGGCAGGACCTGGAGAATGGCCCTGTCAAAACCAAACTGGTTTTTGTGCCATGCCCTAGGTATTATTTTCCTTCTTCCTTTGATGGTGTATAAGTGCACCTTGCACAAGACATCACTTATGTGAAGCAGGAGTCTAGGAGTGTTTCAGGCATTGTGTAGCTTTCCAGCTAGGTAATAGCGGCAGGCCTCTGGGACAAGGAACCCACAGATTCAGTGTCCACTTTCTGTCATTGCTAGTCACACACCCCCACTTGCTACTTCTGAGTTTGTGGTGGTAAAACCGCTAGATGGGGCTGTGCCTTTTTTTTCTTTGCCTAGTGTTCAGCATTCTAGTGGGGCAGCTCTATCCATATATAGAATAGATCCTGTGTTCCCCAATTAACTACTGGAGAAAATAATGATGAGAGCAAAAAGTACTACTTTTCTTAGAGCACAGATGCCAATGTGTATGCATTAAATGCAGGAGGAACTTGAGTGCTATGTTAGGGCAGAAATAGTTATTCAGCTGTGCTGCAATGCTCGTCAAACAATGTTAATATGAATACCATATCTTTCAATACCAAATAAATGGGAATACCATTTTTCTCTTATAGGTATGGAATTTGTCCTGAAAACATACTGCTTTATGGGCAGAGTATTGGCACTGTACCAACAGTGGACTTGGCATCTCGTTACGAATGTGCAGCTGTCATCTTACACTCCCCGCTGACCTCTGGGATGAGAGTGGCATTTCCAGACACTAAGAAAACGTACTGTTTTGATGCATTTCCCAAGTAAGTGTCTCAAGAAGTCATGTTAATGATAATATGCAGAAGAAGTCCTCTTAGGAATCATACACACAATATGCAAAAACTTTGGTCCAAAAAAATTTCTATTCATGTTCTCCACACATCTACCTTGTATAACTAACTTACATGGGTACAAAAAATGAAAAAAAGGCCTCAGTCATGAAGGGGTAAATGATTAGCATGATGCCCTCGCATGCCAAATTGTGTAACAAATTGGTGCTGTTTGATCCCTGGCAGATGTTTAACGCTTCTGACAGAATAGATCTGTCTTTTCAAAACTAATAATTCTCTATTGCGTATAAATTTATCCCTGAGTACGTTAGGGATGTCAGTTACTGTAGAGGCGAGGGGTATTGCCAATCATTCTTCCTTTGGTAGTGACTATCCAAATTGAGCAGGGTAGCTTGTAGACTGTGGAAATTGAACCCTTTTTGGTTAATGCCTTTGTCCTCTCATTCATATGTACATTCACATATTACCTTCTTTGAGCAGACAGCTTCACATAACATTTTATGGGACACTCTAAATGGAGGCCTCCTTATCAAGGAAATTAGTCTCATTAAAACACTCAGCAGAAGGGAAGAGGAAGATATCTACGAGCTGGTCCTTTTGTCCAGGGAGCATGTTTCCAGTTTAACCCTACCACACAGTCCACTTGGACATCCCTCCAGCATATGCTGGACACTGAGTACCGTACAGGCTTGCAAAAACAATTCTTTCAAAAACACTGATACTGGCCACATGGAAAATGGTTGGCAATCTGCTAACAAATACAGTATAGCCCAGTCTCAACTGGAGAAACTGATGGCTAGTTCGATTTCTGATACTAATGGTATGGTCCTAATGGCTTCTTCAGATATGATTTGGGTCGTCTGAGACTTTTAATAGTACCACAACTTTTCATATGGTCTTCTCACTTTGGAGAAATTGGAGACTACAGGTGTGTGGGATGCTTCTTAACTTCTCATGGGTATTGATATTGTCACCAGATACACTCCTATATGGAATAATGAATCCTTGACTGAACTATACCAGTTTGGCGTCTTCCCTGCATAGATAAAGATCTCTGTCAAAACTTTAGACTTGCTGTACAAAGAGTAAGTTTTGAAATCATTTAAACAGCTCCGAACAGTATCCGAACTCAGCAGAAGGGAAGAGGAAGATATCTACGAGCAGGTCCTTTTGTCCAGGGAGCATGTTTCCAGTTTAACCCTACCACACAGTCCACTTGGACATCCCTCCAGCATATGCTGGACACTGAGTACCGTACAGGCTTGCAAAAACAATTCTTTCAAAAACACTGATACTGGCCACATGGAAAATGGTTGGCAATCTGCTAACAAATACAGTATAGCCCAGTCTCAACTGGAGAAACTGATGGCTAGTTCGATTTCTGATACTAATGGTATGGTCCTAATGGCTTCTTCAGATATGATTTGGGTCGTCTGAGACTTTTAATAGTACCACAACTTTTCATATGGTCTTCTCACTTTGGAGAAATTGGAGACTACAGGTGTGTGGGATGCTTCTTAACTTCTCATGGGTATTGATATTGTCACCAGATACACTCCTATATGGAATAATGAATCCTTGACTGAACTATACCAGTTTGGCGTCTTCCCTGCATAGATAAAGATCTCTGTCAAAACTTTAGACTTGCTGTACAAAGAGTAAGTTTTGAAATCATTTAAACAGCTCCGAACAGTATCCGAACTTTACCATAAGTTCTTATATAAATACTTGCAGGATAGGCATGCCTTACAGGCACAGAACAGACAAAGCGCCATAAGGATAGTCCCTACACAGTCCCTATGATACTGTGAGCAGCATCACAGGTCTCATTTTGCACCTCTATAGTCCCCTCACCGCTAAACATTTTACACTTCCCTTAACAGAGTAAACCTCAGTAGAAGAAACTTGTGTGCCATTTCAGGGGATCAGTGGGAGGGGACACTACAGGTGGTTTCTGGAGTGTCCCTGATGTACTCTATCAGACTGACCCAGTTGTTCATTCTCCACAGGGCTTATTTCAAATAGGCCTGCATAGTGTTTTTAACTGCCAAATGTATCGGGGACCAGAAAAAAATGTTTCATCAACACCAAGCTATTTCGTAATAACTTAATCGGTGTATTTTACACCTTAAAACAGGAAAATTGTATTGCCATACTTACCGCAATTTTCCTTTCCCGCCAGCTCCATGGCAGCACACAATGGGTGTAGGCTCTGCCCCCGAATCTGATAGGATGTTTAACTCTTAAATTTGAGCCTCCACCCAGCCACTAGCGTTATGTAACTAGCAACTCCGACTGGGCGGGAATGTGCTGCCATGGAGCTGGCGGGAAAGGAAAATTGCGGTAAGTATGGCAATACAATTTTCCTGTTCCCGACAGCTCCATGTCAGCACACAATGGGAAATAACTCGCACAATACAAGGGTGGGAATGCAATTTAATTTGACAAAGATGAAGAAGCCACAACTGTACGGCCAAACTCAACCGTAGTCAAAGCCGCAGGCTCAACACAGTAGTGACGCATGAAGGTATGAATAGAAGACCATGTAGCCGCCTTCCAAATTACTTCTGAAGAGACGCCACTCATGGCTGCCCAGGAAGTGGAAATGCTTCTGGTAGAATGTGCAGTAGCATGCCCGGGAACTGCCAACCCCTTTGCGCCATACGCTAAGGAGATAACCTTCACCGTCCAGGAAGAGATAGTACGCACAGAAGACTTCAGGCCCTTCCGTGGCCCTGCCGGTATCACGAACAGGTGATCCGAGGATCGAAATGGAGCAGTAGCTGTAATGTAGGAACGTATGGAATCTCCTACATCCAAATGAGCCAGCTGATCTGAGTCGCTGGGGTCACAAAAGGGAAGAACAATTTCCTGATTCATATGGAAGCATGTGGCGACCTTCGGAACGAATCCAAGCATCGGTACCAGCTCCACTCTGTCTGCGAAGAATGTGGTGAATGGCTCTTCGCACCCCAAGGCAGCGATCTCAGACACTCTCCTGGCCGAGGAAATGGCCACTAAAAAGGCCGTCTTCAAAGTAAGGCGCCAAAGGGACAGATCAGCATTGTACTCCGTTGTGGCTAGGAAGTCAAGGACCAAGGGAAAGTCCCACTTGGAGAACAGCCGCTGTCTGGGCGGTCTGGTCCGTATAACTGCTCTGAAAAATTTCACGACCAAGGTATTAAGCACCGATCTCACTCCAGTGAAGGTGTAAATAGCGGAAACATGGCTCTTCAGAGTACCAAGGCTCAGGTGCAGGTCGAGACCTCCTTGAAGAAAATCCAGCACATGGCATACCTGGGGCAATGCCTGGGAAAATGAGTGAAGGGCTGCAAAGTCCACGAATTTGACCTTTATCCTGTTATAGGTTCTGTTCGTCGTAGATTTCCTTGCGTTCAACAGGGTGCTAACAGCCCACGAACACCCCAGATAGACCAACTGCCTCCTCTCAAGATCCAGGTCGTCGGGCAGAGTTTTGCCAGAGCTGGATGGAACAACGGACCTTGGAACAACAAATCCCTCGACCGGAATCGGCAAGGGATCCACTATCGACAGTCAGCATAGGAGAGGATACCAGGGGTGCAGTGGCCAGCCAGGGACTGCCAAAACCATTACCGGTTCCCAGGAGAGCTTCTTCAGAAAACCGAGGATTAGCGGGACAGGCAGAAAGGCATTTCCCGTCTGAAAAGTTCAATCCGTCGTTGGAGCGTCCGTGCCTATCGCCTGGGGACACGGACACATGGTGACAAACCGCGACAGTTTGGCATTTGTTGGGGACGCAAATAGGGTCCACTTGTGGGAGAAAGCCCCATCTCATCAGGCTCCGAAAGGCCGACTGGGGGAGGGACCACTCGTTGTTGTCCAGATAAGTCCGAGATAGGTAGTCCGAAGTCGGATGGGGGCGAGCTGCCAGGGTCGCTCTGCTCAGGGACGCTGGCACTCTTCCATGAAAGGTGTGATACCTTTCATGGAAGAGTGCCAGCGCCCCTGAGCAGAGAGGCCAGGCTTATAAGATTTCACATAGAGGCAAGCCACAGTCAGTGCAAAGGATACAGCCAGCAACCCAGACCCACAGGCACCCCAGCAAACACACGGCTTACCTTTAGCCAGAGGGGTCACCAGCCTTGCAGAGCGGCCAAAAGCAATGCAGCAGCCAGGCAGAACGTAGTCCCAGGGGCGTCCCAGCGCCAGAATTTAAAAAAGCCGCTGTAGGCTCCGCCCCCAGGACGCCGATTGCGTCCCACTGCGCATGCGCCGGCCGCGATCCATACCGAGGCTTGGAACGCATCTGCGTTCCAGCCCCGGCACCTCCCGACAGAGGACAAGCAGATGCCTCCCCCTCTGCCGCACTGGACAAGGACGGAGAGACCTAGAACGGCCGCACAGCCAGCCCCACAGCCCAGCTATTTCTCCCCAAACTGTGTCACATAAACCTGGGTTTACCAGGCAAAACAGTGCCTTAGATCGCTTTTACCTATCAGACTCCTAAGGAGGAACGCTAGTGGCTGGGTAGAGGCTCAAATTTAAGAGTTAAATATCCTATCGGATTCGGGGGCGGAGCCTACACCCATTGTGTGCTGACATGGAGCTGTCGGGAAATGCAGTGTCTGGTGTGTCTTTCCAACATGGTCCTATTACATGTATACTGGGATATATTGACTCTATGATGCTCCTAACAGGGCACTGTTCACTACAAGAAACGGATGTATCTGCCTCAAGGCATTTGCTTTGGGTGGCACTTTCAAAGGGGGGGGGGGGAACGCCCCCCCCAAAC